CTATATGAAGTGGTATAAATATATACATTTTCTGCCATCATGTCTTGAATTTGTGATCATTCTAAATGCATTTTAATATACTGAATCATGCAGTGAAAGAAAATACTTTTTATATCGTTATCGAAGAAGGTGTACCGTCGATAAATATCGATACCGTTTTATCGCCCAGGCCTAAACTGCGCATGAATTATGCTCCATAATTGAATCTTTACATTTGGAAGTTTAATTAAGATCCGTAATCGAGCAATAATAATTGATATTTGCATTTGCAATTATTTGAGATTAGAGAGCCAAGCAACAGGAATAACATAAAAATTTCACATGAAAGATCTTCGGAAGATATTGCACATCAAACAGAGACATCAAACAGTGTCATTGCATCATATGAGCGAAATCTTTAAAAATCATTTTAGCAATCTTTCTTTCATCAGCTTCACAGTATTTCATCATGTACAAGCAGCTGCTTATGTAACCATGTGGCCAAAAAAACACAAATACCAAGACTATCTGTTGGCTAATTATCACAATTTTTCCTCCTTGGAGAGATTGTCAGACCCCTTCTGTCAGGTTAGGTGTCAACAGACCTTGGTATTTCTAGTTACTTCATGATACTGGTATTTTATCTTCTCAGTTCCTGGCACTGATGTAGGCTGTAAGGTTTTGGAATAATGATGAAGTACAACAATAAGAGCTACAGTTCTAAGACTGAATGAAAAAGAAATATATTTAGAGGTCCCCAAAATAATTAGGCTACTAGCAAATTCAGTTTAGATTTGACTAATTTTATATGAAAGAAGACACTTTCTTTACAGATTACACCTAAAATTAAAAAAAAAGAAAAAAAGAAAAAATATAATTACTATAATTTTTTTTTTCTGGCACTTTTGATCAAAATTCAACCTTTAAGTGGATTTCGACATAATGTGTGATATTTAGTTTTCAGATGTGTGATTGTAATGACATTTGTCACTTTTTGTGGAAAATGTTGAATTAGTATTGCATTTACTAAGTATTCTGAAAGATAATTAACTTTATATAAAGAAATAGATTGTTTCTCATTTACAAATCAAGAATTCAAAGGTTTTTCTTTTTTTCTTTTTGGAAGAACTATTTTTCACTATGCTTGACATGATGGTAAAGACAATAGGTGGTAATAGGGTTCAGTCATTCTTTGTTATAAAATATTGCAGTTTGTACATACAAATTAAAATCAAGTAGTGAAATCAAGCATGTGATCATTAGTATTGAATACACACACATACATGCACAAATATGATCGCACTCACAAATCGCATCTCAGCGGAGTTAAGAAATTACGCGCACACAAGAGCCAAACTGCCCATTATGATATTTCAGAAATTTCGCTTTAATATCATCAACAGTCTAATAGACAAAAAAAAAGCCGTTTGTTTCTCAGTCTAAAGCTCTCATTGATTCATAAGAACTCTGGGAGTCCGTTCAGTCAGCAATTATTATAACGTGACATGAAGGCTCCAGCTGCACTTGGTAAATTAATTCCCTATCTGTCCATATATATAATTCATCAGTAGTTCATTTATATCAAGCGTATCCTTACCTGTAGATTAAATCCAAGGTGTTCTGGAGATACGCAAGTCTTGTTATTTAAAAACACAAACGGTCATTACTTTCCTTCGCGACGTCACGATGGCATGAAACAATGTAACTATATCAGCGCGCGAGACGCCCAGCGTGTGAATGACGACGGCTGTCAGGCTGAAAGATATTCAGCTTCCTGTTTCATCATCACTGCTTATCCCCGCCTCAGTGGCACACAGGAGCTTTCCTTACACAGTTTGCGTTATTGAAAATGATAAGGGTTGTCCTTGTTACTAGTAGGCTATACACTTTCTGAAGGGTTAACGTTAGGATTAGGGGTTCGGTTCATTATTATTTGCTTGCAAGTATGCGCAATTTACTCTTATTATTACTATACACAAACACACTCACAAAATATATATCACTCTAAAAGATGTCTGTATATTTTTTATAATATATATTTTTACATTATATGTGTGTTTTTTTTTATAAATTACATTTTATGTTGTATTTTAAAGTTTTATGACTATTTGTTAATGGGATATTTGTGGTCACAGAAATTACTTTAGATTTGTGGGTTAAACAACATTCTTATTTTTAAGTGAAAAACTCTTGGGGTCCCCATCTTATGGCAGTTCAAATGCTCCTCCACTCCTCCAGCTGATTTTAAGAAACATAATGAATTACAACTGTAATGAAGCCACTGAAAGTTCATTCAAATACACTTGTTTAATTAGAGTGCATGTAAAGGCATTTTAACCACTAGTAGTGGATGGCAAAATGTCTTCTTAAGCGTAACAGCTCCATCTTGTGTAGAAAACAGAGTTGTAAGCAGTTTTATGTGCTTTCTTTTTTCAAACCATCAAGAAGTCCTAAAACACCTTTCACAATGGAATTGCTGGTACTCTATTTGTAAGATGTTAGTCAAATATGCAGTCATATAAGTGGTTCTCTTAGTGATGATCTGTTGGTCACATTTTTATATACATTTTTATGCTAGACTCAACTTTCAATCACTGTGTCCTGGAATTTATTTATTTATATTTTTTTAAGTTTTTTTTTTTTTTTTTGCCTCTAGTCATTATGTACAAACAATGACAAGAGTCCAAGGTCACAATGCAAGGGCATAAAAATCATAACATTTTGGAGTGTACTGTATAAACACAAAAAACTAAGAATTAGTATGTTTGAACATTTTTACAAAAACAATAAAGGAAAAGAATAAAAAAAGTATTTAGAATCTTCAGCAAATATTTATAACAGCCATAGTGTATAAGTGGCACTGTGAAAAAAAAAATGTATGAGTAATTTTTCATGAAAGATAATGAGTAATTTTTGTATGTAAGTTTTTCCTTTCTCCCCATAAAACAATACACAGTGATTATGTTTTAGACTTAAAATACATAGAATGTCTTTATATATAAAGTCTAGATTAAAATCCATTAACTGTGATAATTATATACATGACAATAATGTGTGTGTCAGCGAGGTACTGGCACATGCTGCTCTTTCTTATTTTCTCTCTGAAGAGTGGTTTAGGATTTGGTATCATGAAAAATATGTCCTAGACAGATCGGAATAAGATATTTGAGTTCCTCGTCTTTATCCGTATTTGCTTCCTCCTGTGATCTGAAGAGAAAACATTGAACATACAGAATTAACAATAGACGCAAATTTTCCTGCTTCATTTTTTGTGGTCCAGCCTAATGGAACACAAGTTGGATGTTTAAGCATCATCATTATTGACACTAAACTGCACACTTTTTCTCAATTATAATATCAAACCCTCTAAAGTAAGTAAGGGCTGCAGTAAACACACCTTTCATGCACATTTTCATGCAGTGTCTCTTATGGACAAAGTTGTTTTTGTTGCCTCCACAGCCACTGTAGCGAAACATCTGGCATCTCTCAGTCCTGGGGTTGTACACGAATCTCCTCTCAGAGCCTTCACAATTGCCCCTATCAACTGGACTCAAGCAGAATTCTGGGGGATTGAACTCTGAAATGCAACAACAATATGTTGGCAAAATCAGCAGCAGTTAAAAAAAAACACTTTATACACATTCAAACATGTTCAACTGAGACAGAAAAAGATTATATTACATAATACTACATAATAAATTATATAATATATATATATAAGAAAAAACAGTACAGGTACATGATCACAAATAGATATAATATAATTATGTTAATTAATGTTTATAATGCATTTATTTATGTTTGCCCTGCACTTCTGCTACACAATTAAACAATTAACTAGCCACTTTTTGTGTCTCTGCGACCATGTGCCGATTACTGAAACCATATTGCAATGTACACTATGTGCATATTATGATTATACATCACATCTGATCCCTATTGCTTCTTATTTATTGTTTCTTATTTATTGTTAATTGCAGGGATTATGAATTTTTGTAGGCAAAAACTCGGAAATTAGTTAACATTTTAGCACTTTTGGTTCATCACCCATCTACTCACTGTCTGCTTTTACAGCCTCATTGTGTTTACAATCATGCCCTTGCAAACTATTCTAACTCAGACTTTCAGCGAAAATGTTTTTAAAATAAAGACTGAAAGAGTTTAAGATTAATGGTGCTGACGTTTAAGTCATGTGACTGTGATTCATTTATAGCCTGTTCAGAAACCAGGACGAAGTTAACTTCTGGGTTGGCCTACAAAAATACATCATCATCGGCACTACAGCACTATTCATTCTAGTTGGAATGACAATGAAGTCAACTTGAATTTACATACTTGATCCACTAGATGGCAGTAAAATCTAAGCAGTGGAACCACAGAGCATTTGCACATTCAAGTCACCCTTTTAACCCAAAAGCAATTGTTGTAATTAATGTATTCAGCTACTTTTAACCCAGAAAGTAAATTGCCAATAATAAATTAGTAAAACAGAATGCTGACAGGATGGTGAACATGTGGTAATTCACTTAGTATACTTCATTAAAGCTGCAGTCCGTAAGTTTTGCCTCTTTGTCGCCATCAATTGCAAGTGTTTAATAGTTTGTTTGCAATTTCCATCAAGAGCCCAAATCTCAAGAAGAGGAAATTTAACACAACAAAATATACTTGCAATTACAGAAACTGATATTCAGTTTTTTACATTTCAAAACTGAGTATTAATGTTACAAAACCACATATTTGACAGATTTTTGTGCAATCTGTGTGCCAGACAAGGATGTCATGTGCCCTGGGGCTGCGGAGCAGAGAGCAGCTCTTAACTGTCAAAATAAGTCGGAGGAGGCAGAAAAAATGGCTGCTACGCTGCCCTCTGGACTCAGACAAACAGACTGTCTTACACAAAGGCACAGCTGTCTAGAACCCTCTGCCTGTGTGTGTTGTGGCGAGTCGCCTGCCTCCCCCCTAATTATCAGCAACACCCCGTCCCTTAATTGCTGCCCTTCGCCAGGCTCCCGACAGGAGTGGGCAGGCCCGGATTGGCTAATCGGGAGCACTGGGAGAATTCCCAGTGGGCCGGTCGGTTTTTTGGCCGTGAGGACCGGTCTTGTCATGCCACTGGGGTTGAAACATGGATGCCCTTAAGGCATCAAAGCGTCCCGTATGAAAGCTAACGCAATTTGTCCCGTATTCGCAGGCACGCCATATGACCACCAGACCATATGAATAACAAATTCTCAATTGATAATTAATCATTCTATTTGCGCAAATTGTTTTATTTGTGAACGTAGCCGCTCAAGGAAGGCTTTAAGACCAAGCGGAATCCTCTTTCTTTAATTGAAAAATATGCATTTTCATTCATTCATAGGCTAGCCTATATTAGGGCTGGGTTTTCACACACATTTCACGATTCGATTCTCATTCACAAGCTTGCGATTCAATTCGATTACCAATTCAATTCGATTCGATTCAATATCGATTATTTTGGATATATATCAGGTACAGTACTTGCCAAATTT